AAGAAATTGGCATATTAATTATAAAGAATTATACGCTGTAAAAATTTCTTTACAAAAACTTTCGAGTCATCTAATCGACTGTCAGATTCTTTTAAGAATTGACAACAAAACAGCAATCACATACATTAATAAAATGAGGGGAACAAAATATGAATATTTTAATTACTTAGCTAAAAAGATTTGGCAATGGGCAGAAAAAAGTAAAAATTACCTGTTTGCCTCCTACATTGCTGGTTAGAAAAATATCGAAGAATCTTTTACAGACAAAGGAGTTCCATTAGAATCTGTAAAAATAATGATAGCCTCACTTTCCAAAAATACAATCAGTCAATATCAAAGTGCATTGGTCTAATGGATAAAAGTTTTGTTCAAGTAATAATTCGGGATGTTGTAAAATTGATTGTAATAAAGTAATTAAATTTTTAACTAGAAAATTCGAAGAAGGATCATCATACGGGACATTAAATAACTATAGATCAGCCTTATCACTAATTTCGAAAAACAAAATTGGGGAAGATCCGCTTATAGTAAGATTTAAGAGAGGGATTTTTTTATTAAAACCTTCTTTTGCGAAATATTCTTCCACTTAAGACACGTCAATGGTCTTGAATTATGTTGAAAAATTATATCCGTTAGATAATAATTTATCTCATACTGCAATTTCTTTGAAAACTGTTACGCTTTTAGCATTATGTTGCGCTCATAGATAGCCAACTTTAGCAAGTATTGAAATAAAAAATATTCATGTACAAGATAAAGAAATAGAAATTTACATTTCAAAAATGATCAAAACATCAAGACCAGGTAATCCTCAACCTGTACTTTCCATTAATTAAATAAATCGAAGTAACTAAAACAAATAGAGGATCCACTGAAAATTTCTTTCTTTCGTTGAAAAATCCATACAAGGTAATCACCAGCCAAACACTTAGTAGGTGGATAAAAAAGACTTTAAGTGACAGTAGCATATATATATATATATGGCTCATTTCATTTAAATTGTCATATTCGTGTCCCTTGCCAAAAAAAATTATTTGATATAACCTTACTTGAAATTAATTTGTTTATATAGTAAACAAGTAGGGGGTCCTTTATGTTTATTTCATAAACATTATGCTTCCTCATAGTGAAGCAAAAAATTCGCTTCCTCGTGAAGGAAGCAATGAATTTGTCCAATTCAATTGATTCATTTAAAAACTTTCGAATTAAAAATGTTTTAAATTAATTAAATTTTTTGAAAAATAAAGAAAATTTTAATTAATTTTGAGTGTAACATAAACTTTATATATTAATTCTCAAATTTTAAATCAAATCTATACTTTATATATACCAACCAATTTGTTTCAATGCAGGGAATAAAATTATTTCATATATAAACATGAATTTAAATAAACACATCATTTTTTAGCTAAAATGAGAATTTTTTATTTTTTAACTTTCTTTAATTCTTTAAATTTCAATCAAATCTATACTTTATATATATCAATCGATTCATCTTGACATAAAGAAGACGATTATAATATATATTACCTTAAATTTTTCGATTTAAAAATTTTTTCAATTAAAAAAAATTTTTTGGAAAAAAGACGATAAAATTTTTTTTTTGGGGTATTTTTAAAAATCCTCTCGTCATTTTTGAGAGATTAATGTGTTAAATAAGCCTACCAAATTTTATCCAAATCCATTAAAACCTGTTAAAGATATCGTGTTCACAAAAACGATCCACACACACATACACACACACACACACACACATACACACACACATACATACATCCGGACAATTGATCAGGATCTCATATAACATGTTTCTATATAGAGGAAAATTTGTTTTCACCATTTTTAAAAAGTTTATAAACGAAAGGACTACATAGCTTCCTCCACGAGGAAGCAAAAGCAATAATTTTCAATAATTTTTCTACTTACAAGGACATAAAAGTGATTTTCATAATATTGTCAGAACAAAAAGCAGGCAAAATGTCATAAGTGTAATGTGTCCCCGGAGACATTTTTAATGTTCAAATAAATGAAATGTCGAAAATATAGTGTTTAAACCAGATTAAAAAAATGTTTCGTGAAATATTAGTTCTATATTTAAGGAAAATAAAGTGTTGGTAATTCAACTTTATTTTATACAATTTCCAGAAAATGAAAATGACGTGTCCCTCACTTTTGTATTTTTACGTTTTGCCGGCAGAATTTCCTACTTTTACCTGCTATTTAAAATTACCTTATGAGCAAAAAAATTTCTTTACCATCACATAAGCAGTAGAACACAACAACGAAGTGTGTGAAAAAAACGAAAACGATATAAGTATAAATCTGCTCGTTTGTCATGGAGGCAAAAAAAGCCGAAACACTTTCTGCATAAAGTCTTTGATTTTTTTTTAAAAAGAAAGAATTTCAATTGTTTATTTAATGTTAAAGTTAATAAAGTCACTGACTTTTTTTTGAAATACTCGTGATAAAATAGGGAATCATAATTGACAAAAAAAAATACAAAATTAGGCGCAGCAGTTTATTTTATTTTCATTTGTTTATAATAATTTATATTTCTCATTTCAGAAATTTTGAGCCATAACTTTAGTTTTTTCGTTATTTTCAAAACGTGTATAATCAGTAAAAAAAATTTTTTTTGCAACACTAACCTCTAAAGTTAAATTTTACACACCGAAAAGTGTGTGTAAAGAAGCTCTTTTTAAAACTGAAATTTACTTTACGCCCTGCGAAATTCACTTTAGGCACCGAAATTTTTCTCAAATAATATAAGGATTGTTTTAGACCATAAAAAACCACAAAATTAAAAAAAGAACTTTACTTTTAAATTTATACACTACTGCCTAATGATATTTCTCCTGATCTTCGATTGATTTATTTAATTCTATACAATCGAAATTATTCTAATAGAGAGTTGGAATTCGTCATAATAGGTACTTAACTTTAGAGGTGGGTGTTGCAAAAAATGTTGTATGATACACGTGCGTATAATCACTCACTTTACGCACTTGTATCAAAAATAACTATTTTGATTGTTTAAAACTAATACTATTATCTATAAATAAATTAAAGGTGTCTTCTAAGTGGGTTGCTTTTTAATATTTTCAATATCTATGGAACTTTAAAATACTTTTTTATAATTTAGATGCAAGCAGAATGCATAATTTGTTTTAATTATTCACAAATGTTTTTATCATCGAACGGTGGTTATATACCATATATACTTTTTTTATATTTAATATTAAAATAATAAAATTTAATAAACATTCTACTTTTAATGTAAATACAAAAAACTCGACCATTAAAGGGTTAATTAAAAAAAATTTATTACGCTGACGTAGAATCTTATTGCGCAACAAGTAAAGTTTTTAACATTCAGCAATAAAAGTTTTTCGAATGGGATCTTGTGGAGGTTCATGTACAGGAACTTTTATTTGAAAATTTGTTTTTCCTTGACAAGACTATTAATTTTAATCATGTTTCCTAATTTTTTCCTGTAATCTAAGCGTAAAAATCATAGAGATATAAATAGATTGGTAAAGGTCGGCCTTTAAGCATCAGCATAATAGAAGGAACCCTCACAACACAAGGATATTCAGGATATCCCTGGGACGTCCTGGGGATATCCATTTGCTTTTGGCGATTCGGATATCCCTAAGATATCCTCTGGATATCCATGGACATCTCTAAGATATCCCAGGGATATCCAAACCGCCGAAAACAAATCGATATCCCCAGGACGTCCCAAGGATATCCTGAATATCCTTTTGTTGTGAGGGAAAAAGAGAACTGATTCCGTAGGGTAGCATCGATAGAAGTTGGCCTCCGTGAGAAGTGGGCCACTAGCTATTTTTGTTTTTACAATTGACATATCTGTCAACCGAATTTTTTTTATAATTATTGACAGGAGCTGAGTTTTCAGTAGACATTCAAGTGTAAAAACGCACATTTGTGTTCTCTAACAATTAGTGCTAACAAATACATACTCTTTTTCTTTTTTTCATTGAGAAAGATATCGTTATTTGCTTAAGTTATTCATTGAATTTAATCGGGTAAGTAGCCTTTTTTATATTAATAGACCTAACCTCAAAAAGTGTAAAAAGATTTTAGCATATTGTCGCGTTATATTCTCGCCACGTTATTTCGCCTAATATTATGCTTGTGGACAGAAGTGGGCCACAGCATTCACGTACTGTTTCGACAATAAGTGTTTTTGTATAAATTAAGGAAGTAGTTTTTTTAAAATTAATTTCGATGTTTTAGTGATTATGCCACCAAAGAAAGATATATGAACTGACTATGTGTCCATCAACTTCGATAAATAGCTTGGTGCGGTAAAACCATTAAAAATCAAGAAAATTTCGAAACGTGCTACTTCTGTTACTGCCGGTATAAGCCGAACAAGTTTTTAACGGACATTTATTGAAAAAATTAATCATTTAACATAACAATAATAATTCTTGATACTTTTACTTATTTTAGATGAAAAACTTGGGTGGCCCACTTCTGACAACAAAATCGTGAAATCACGAATTTCTTTTTTTTGACATAATGTTATAAGAAAATATGTTAAAGTTTTTAATTTTATGCTTGCAAAACGTTAGGTAATCCCTTTCTCAACAAATAGACGCAAAAAACTCCAAATTATAAATTTTTTAACAGTCTATAGTCTAAAATCCAAAGTGTGGCCCACTTCTGTCGGTACTACTCTATGTCTGTTCTTCTCCCACGTGTATATGTCATTCCCTCGCGCTTGCGCATTGTCGCATTTCATTTAAGGACAGAACTACGGTTTCGGTTTCTTTTCTCTATCTTTCGGGGTCTTGTCGGCACTTATGGTCGCTTCTATTCCTTCCCCACTCTATTTATAATATCTCTACGGTAAAAATGCATGTTTTGTCATATTTTTAAAAAAAATAGTTATTTTTTGCGTCAGAATCTATAAGATGGTTCAACTATTATTTTATATATTTTAGTTAAAAATTTTCAAAACATTTTTACAGATTTGTTTTATATTGAAAAGAATACTCTAAATTCGAGGACTATTGACCGTGAGTCTATAATTTTTTCTAATATGTCCAATGCTCAAGTACGATTAATCATTCAGGTTATTTGTCCATTGACACCTGATGCTTCTCATCGAGTAAAACGTGACACAGACTATAATGTTACATTAGGAAATATACCATTTGTCCACTCGAATATGCATATCATTGCTATTATAACTGATATAAATGATAATAAACCTGTATGGGATTCAAAAATTCCCAGAACTATTGGATATCCTGCAAAAGAATTATCGCAATTAATATTGGCTTCTTGTGTATATAATCTGTCGGTGAGTAATTTCATAATTTTTGATCATAAATCATATTCTTATCCATATAATTTGTAATTTTTATATTAAAAAATAAGAATAACGTGATGTGCAACAACATTTTATCAATATTATATGATAATATTGCAAATATTAATTGAAAATATAAGCTCAGGGCGCCACAGTGTGTTATTTTTGCAGTTTCATTTTCAAAACCTAATTTCTCTTGAAGAAATTGACCAAATTGAATGAACCTTGGAGCAAAATAAAGCTAAATAAATGTAAAATACAGAAAAATTATAAAGAATGCTTGATGTACTTTTTTGAGCACCTGTCAGTTGAGTGAAATTAGTATTTTTTATAAAAAAAAACGACAAAATAGAGTATAAAAACCTGTAAACCATGGTAAAACTTAATAAAACAACTTTTTTGTGAGCATGTGGGATCATTGAATATAAAAATAAAGTTCAAGTCTTGAAAATGGCAAAATGGCATATTCAAAATGAAGGACTAAATTACCAAAATTTTGAAAAACTTTTTGATTTGTTCAAAGTGCAGTATTCTAATGTTTTTGAGGTCACTGAATCCAAATATGCTGGTTAAAATTAAAAAATTCAAAATGGCAAACCCAATATAGCGGAAAAAAAATTTTAAAAATGCTTAGATTTCAACAAGATTTGGTACTTTAACTTTATCGAGGTCGCTGTATCCAAATATAATGGTAAAATTTAAAAATTCAAAATAACGTACCTAATATAGCGGACAAATTTTTGTTAAATGCTCATGTAAAAATAATAGAGCATTTAACATAATTTGTTTGAAAATATGTTTCAACGATTAGAACGACTGGACATTATTACATATTTTATACTCAAAATTCAAATTTGAAGTTAAAAAATATTTCTATGTTTAATTCTGAAGAATGTATACTTCATTACTTTTATATGGCAATTTAAGGGGGGGAATGGCGATTTTGGTGTAAAAAAGGCTTTTTGAAATAATTTTTCAGTGATATAAAGTGTGTTACTTTATTAACTTAATTTCCACATATTAACCCCTTGAGTGTGAGGGTACGTCTATGGACGTGCATTCTAAAGTGGGCTGCCAGTTGTAACGTTTGTAATTGAAAGAATCAATATTTAGCTAGGCCACGTGAAAAGGTTCCCGGAATTTTTGCAAAGTGACTCTGGGAGTAGTTCCCAGAACATTCTGAGAACATTCCCGGAAAATTTTTGGTTTTTTCCCAGAATTCATGGAATTTTCGTTTCAATCAAGTAATTGATACTCCGGGATGACTCCAACGTACATCCAGATATCCAGGAGTCAATTGGACAACTTCTTCAGGGAATTTTAGCTGTAATCAAACAATCAATACTCCAGGATGGCTCCAACTTTCATCATGATGACTAGGAGTCAATTGGACAACTTCTCGAGGGAATTTTAGCTGTAATCAAATAATCGATACTCCAGGATGACTTTAACGAACATCATGATGACTAGGAGTCAATTGGACAACTTCTCCAAAGAATTTTAGCTGTAATCAAACAATCGATACTCCAGGATGACTCCAACGTACATCATGATGACTAGGAGTCAATTGGACAACTTCTTCAGGGAATTTTCGTTTTAACCAAATAATCGAATGACAACTCCAACGTACATCCAGATACCCAGGTGTCAATTGGGCAACTTCTCCAGGGAATTTTAACTGTAATCAAATAATCGATACTCCAGGATGACTCCAACGTACATCCAGATATCCAGGAGTCAATTGGACAACTTCTTCAGGGAATTTTAGCTGTAATCAAACAATCAATACTCCAGGATGACTCCAACTTTCATCATGATGACTAGGAGTCAATTGGACAACTTCTCCAGGGAATTTTATCTGTAATCAAATAATCGATACTCCAGGATGACTTTAACGAACATCATGATGACTAGGAGTCAATTGGACAACTTCTCCAAAGAATTTTAGCTGTAATAAAACAATCGATACTCCAGGATGACTCCAACTTTCATCATGATTACTAGGAGTCAATTGGACAACTTCTCTAGGGAATTTAAACTGTACTTAAATAATCGATACTCCAGGATGACTCTAACGTACATCATGATGACTAGGAGTCAATTGCACAACTTCTTCAGGGAATTTTCGTTTCAACCAAATAATCGAGTTTTTAAGACAACTCCAACGTACATCCGGATACCCAGGAGTGTATTGGTCAACTTCTTCAGAGAATTTTACACAGAGAAAATTTAAGTATCACTTTTTGTTAAACTCATATGTATTTTTAGTAAATTGACTACTACTAAAGTGGGGAAAAAACGAGAAGAAGACGAAGTTTCTTATTTAATAGAAGTCTCTTTAACAATATATGACCTCTTTTTTTCAATATTTAGTAGTCAATTTAAGAAAAATTCGACGTGGACAGTGTCGTAATTTAAAAGGGTTAGATAAAGCCCCGACTTAATCGCAACAATTATTCATTAACTTTTAATTATATCATAAATAATATTAATGAGGCTTTAATGTATAGGTTATTTTTCTTTTTCTGTGTTTAAAATTTCACAATCCGGTTAGATTATACATTGAAAATACATTTTTTATGAAGTTAGGGGCGCTTAAAACATCAAGTACTCTTCTGAGCACATGTCAGCTTGTCTATGAAACCCCCCCAAAAAAATATATCATGTCATGTACATCTCTTATATGAGAGATTCTTTTTCAATCGCCCCAGCCCAAAAAGTCAATGTTCTGGGATTGGCTTCATACTTTGGTAAATTAGTGTCCGATATGATAGTAATAAATCCCTAAAATATAAACGCATTAAAAAAATATTTGTAAAAAGTAGAGGGGGTTGAAGTTTTGACGTTAAGGGTAACATTGTCATTTTCAAATCCGTATAACTATATGACAAAAGTTAATGGATTTTAATTTATCTATAATGAATTTTGATGCATTTTTCACGTACTTTTCAAAAATGTATACAAAATTTAAAAAAAAAAATTTTTGACCCCCTTTTTTCAAAATCAACCCTTCTTTTTCGATTTTCACCCCTTCGGTAAAGTAAAGTGGGACAACAATAATTTTGTGAGAATCCTAATATTAAATCCAAGTTTATAATTCTTTTAATTATTGAGAATCAGTTTGAAACGAAAATTCCCTTAAGAAGTTGTCCAATTGATTCCTAGTCATCATGATGTACGTTGGAGTCATCCTGGAGTATCGATTATTTGATTACAGCTAAAATTCTCTGGAGAAGTTGTCCAATTGACTCCTAGTCATCATGATGTTCGTTGGAGTCATCCTGGAGTATCGATTGTTTGATTACAGCTAAAATTCCCAGGAGAAGTTGTCCAATTGACTCCTAGTCATTATGATGTACTATGGTGTCATCCTGGTTTATCGATTGTTTGTTTACAGCTAAAATTCCCTGGAGAAGTTGTCCAATTGACTCCTAGTCATGATGATGAACGTTGGAATCATCCTAGAGTATCGATTATTTGATAACAGCTAAAATTCCCTGGAGAAGTGTTCCAATTGATTCCTAGTCATCATGATGAACGTTGGAGTCATCCTGGAGTATTGATGGTTTGATTACAGCTAAACTTCCCTGAAGAAGTTGTCCAATTGACTCCTGGATATCTGGATGTACGTTGGAGTCATCCCGGAGTATCAATTATTTAATTGAAACGAAAATTCCATGAATTCTGGGAAAAAACCAAAAAAATTCCGGGAATGTTCTCAGAATGTTCTGGGAACTACTCCCAGAGTCACTCTGCAAAAATTCCGGGAACCTTTTCACGTGGGGAGCCGAGCCAGGGTTCGTTTTAATTCATTACACACAAAAATAATAACAATAACAGGTTAATTACAAACTGAAACAAACTATTTATTTACAACGGTATATATATGTTACCGGCAAAACCCGAAGTCATGGCGAAACCCGATTTGCCTAGGCATTTCGGGTTTAACCTATGATTTCAGGAAATACCAGAATTTCCTAGAGGTTCATAGACATTTCCCGAATTGTCTAGGTAAATCGGGTTATGCCGAAGTCGTTTTAGGCAAATTGAATTAAATTTAATGGTATTGAGTCATGTATTGATGTAAACAAAGAGTAAATGATCAATTCTTCATAGCTGGAATATATATATATTGTTCACTATATTGTTCTGACTTGACTTTGACATGTTTCGCACATCGACAAAAAAGTTGAAATAATTTCGCGAGTTATATAGGCGTATTTTTTTGAGGTTTCACTTATTAAACGATCACGTCCTCCATGACCAGTCCCGATATGTGTAGATTGCAAAATATCGAATGTTTCTTCTAATGCTATATAATATTTAACTTCACCGTCGTCACACTTAGCTATTAATTTTGAAACGCCCGCAACTTCTAAAATGTCGTATCTCTTCAACCTTCGGTACACAGTGGTCTTGAAGCAAAGGCAGGGTTTATGAAAATGGATGGAAGATTTTCCAACGCGGAGTTCTTACAGAATGCCTCTAGAATCCAAAAATTGTTTTCGTTTAATATAAGGTTAATTTTATTTGTTTATTAACTACTTTTGTCAAAAGAATTCTGATACTTCAATATATTAACCACTTTTAGCGTAACCCAGGACCAACGACGTGGACGTAGTGGTAAATCGGACCCTTTATTTTTTTTTGTATTTTTATTTATTTTTAATTTTTTTTTGTATTTTTATTTATTTTTTATTGTTTTTGTATTTTTATTTTTTTGGATTTTCAATTATTGTCTACTTTTCTCATATTTTTTTGTTTCTTTTGTAGATTTCTAAATTTCCAAATTTTTAATGATAAAAATATAAATGAAATATCGTTAGGCGCTATACAGATATATGTCATTGTTAAATAAAAATTTAACTGATAGCAATATTCCTTGGAATCCAAATTTCGATTACGTATTGAGTGACGAAAATTCTACAACCGCTCTAAAAAGTTTATCTAAATATAATTCATCTTCGATTGTATTCATTTTATATCTCTCC